CCCCCCCCCCCCCTTAGAAAAATTTCTATCCCCTTTTATTAAAGAAAATTGCGTTTGATTTCTGTAATAATAGAAATCAACATACAGCTTATTCATAACAGCAGGCATCATCAACAATAAGAAGTCCAGAACTCGAAGGAAAATCCCTTAGAAAATGAATTTCTAATGCACAGTTTTCTTGCATTTTTAAGAATTTTTCGCTTCGCAACTTAGGTCTGTTCCATTAGTTTTCATTTTGATCAGTCTTCTCTCCATTTCGAATTAGCATTTGAAATATGATTCGTTTCTCTGTGTGACTTAGGCAATGGGAAGCTTTGTATACGCCTCGCGTTTATCTTCCACTTTTAACACAGCGATTGAAAGCGTAGAGGACTTTAGTGGCTGAACATATATGAGTGCTATAATTTCGTTCTTGTCACTCCAGAAGCGTGAGTTTTTATTTCATTGAACTATACAAGATTTTAGTCAAACCGTTTTTATTCCGTTCCAAAAAGGTGCCGCCTTCGGCGGCATGCTCTCCTTGAATAAATAATAAATCAATGCTTTTTATACCGCTATTATCTCATCAGAAATTTTAGAGTCTAAGAAGAAACAAAATTTCTCACTGCGTGGTATTGTCCAAACAATAGTATAGAAAAGAACGGTGAGGAACAGTTTATATGGTATAAAACATTTTACTCTTCTTATATTTTGACGCCATATATGTCTCTTGGAGGTAGGGATGTACTAAACAGTAAGTAACGGGTAGGAGCAAAAGAAATTCTCGATATTTTCGATAAATTGTTTCGAAAAAGGGTGTTTGTAACAGTTAAATATGCGTTTTGTAGCACGTTCAATAGGATTTCGTATGTGCTATTCAATTTTTATACACGTCATACGAACTAAAAAAAACTAGACAAAGAATTATGTTGTTTCGTTGTCTACAGTTGGGGAGGGAGGGGGGGCTGAGCCTCCCCTACGAATTTTTCCTGGTTACGCCCCTACTGCATATCCTAGATTATTTTCAGCAAAGTCTCTTGCTAGACGTTCAATTTTTCCATTTGTTAAATTGATAGAGTATCAACCTTGTTGTGAATTATTGAATTGACCATTATTTGGAGTGAAAGGATACAAACGAAAGTAGACATGTTTACCGTCAGCTGATAGTTGAAGATTTAGGTCCACGCCTTCGTTATTTTGCCAGTCTCAATAACTATGACATGGTTCGTAATTCAATCGAATAAATTTCGAAAACATTAATATCCTCGATAAGACTTGGTTTTGATGTAAAAACAAGTTTTTGTTCTAATGGAACAAATAAGAGTTCACCAATCGAAAAATTAACAGTCTTGATAAAATTAGTTTTCAAAAATATTTGTCGATCATTTTTGGTGATATCAAGACAATAAATGGTACTTCAATGACTAGGTTTTAGCCGAGGATATTGAAGGACATCTTTTCATTCAGCTTCACATGTATTGTCCGTGTCGTTGGTCAATTGTACTGGTATTGTCTCATAATAAAGAGACGAATCATCATCGGACCATGTCATAGCTGATGGATGTTGATTACCAAGATCAATGGGTAACAGTTCATTCGAGATAATGTTGTATAGATAAAGGTGATCTTCAGTTGTGTTTTCTTTTAAATCTTCTTCGTTTAAGAATACTATCGAATTTCCACTTGGTGATCATTGTGGTTTGATAATTTCAGAAATTTGTCGAGTAATAAGCTCTTTTTGTCCTTAAGTTTTATAAACCCATATATTATGCTCATAAGATTTGGAATCCCATGAAGGACGTCTACGATGAACAAGTAAATGTTGATCATTCTGAGAAAGACACAATGAGGGAAAAGATGCTGAATCAAAAAACTCATCAAATGTTCTATTTAGTTTTGTTTCAATCGACAATCGCCAAAGTAATATGAAGATGGAAACTAAATAGAATTTCATATCGATATTTGATTCAAACAGGTTCATCTAATCGAAATAAAGTTAATAAGAATTGTCCTACTCACATATTTCGATAAAAAAATCAAAAGTGTTCATTGCATGACTCTAATATTATTGTTAATTTGAATACGATCCTCTGTTGATAAATGAACGAAATTTTCAATTACTTGTACTAATTTCTATCATATTCTCTACGAGTCATTGAATAATAGTATACATACATACCTAAAGTTCGATATGAATTCAGCGACAGATGAAAAATATAACTGAATATAATAAAAAAAGAAGCAGTACACTTTGAATCGTATGACAAGGATAAGATTAGGAACTTATGCTTTCTTGTATAAGATTACCAAACAAAAAAGTTGTTGTTTGTGTTTTTATATAATATAAAGATTAATATTTACTAGGATCAAGAACAAGATGTTTTCTTTTTAAAACATTGCTCAAGTAAAGGTCACAAAAAGAAATCATATGTCTCATAGTTTGAGATATCATTTAGATGGAAAATTATTCTAAATATTATTGTTGTGAATAGTTACGTTGTAGCTTAATATTTTTGAAATAAAAGAAAAATGAACTTAGACGTGCAATATTAATGGCTGAAA